TGAACGAACAACAACAAGCTGTTCTTGGGAAATATTACAAAGAACAGTTAATCTCCTTTGCTATCATCTCACTCAAAGCAAATCAAACACAAGTGGAGTTTCTCCTGGTGGTACCTGTCATCTCTTAAATGAAAGTGTACAGGGAGTGTCCAGCAGTCATGCACTATAGCAGATGCCAAAGCACGCTTCCACATGCTCATTGCATGAGTGAATTAAGCCCAGTTCCTGTGAAATAAAAACAACATAGGAGCAGGGAAAGGGCAAGGTATGCCCTGGCAACAACAGGTCTCTTAGCAGATAAAAATGATATGTCTTACCTTAGTGGGAAGCAAATCACAGCCTATGACCCACACATGACCCTTAAAGACTACCCAGAAGGGCTCAGGTTTTCGCAAATGTAACTTACATTCTGTTTTTTAAAGTATGAAGTAAACAGGAGGTGATTTTTGGTCATGTCAATTATTTAATAAAGGCTGCTTCTGGACCTAAAGTAGTGATGCCCCTAAGATGGTGTGAGGAGTGCAGACCTCACTGAATGACTGTCAGAGGTGGGGTGACACCAAAGTGATTGTCTCCAAAACTTTCATGCAATATTTCAACAGAAATATAGATTTTTTTTAATTAAAAGGTTGGCGTGCTTAGATATAATCATCACAAAAATATCTTTTGTAAGCCTATTATTAGCCTCATCATACTAGAGAATGAATCCACTTTAAATCCCTTTAACAGCCTTCCTAAACTACAAACTCCAGAATTCTACAGGAGGCAGAAACCGGATTTAAAGTGGATTCATTCTCTAGTATGATTAAGTCCTGTATCGATATTGACAAGCTGGAATGTGTCCAGAGGAGAGCGACTAAAATGATCAAGCGTCTGGAGAACAAGCCCTATGAGGAGCGGCTTAAGGAGCTGGGCATGTTTAGCCTGAAGAAGAGAAGGCTGAGAGGAGATATGATAGCCATGTATAAATATGTGAGAGGAAGCCACAGGGAGGAGGGAGCAAGCTTGTTTTCTGCTTCCCTGAAGACTAGGACGTGAAACAATGGCTTCAAACTACAAGAAAGGAGATTCCATCTGAACATGAGGAAGAACTTCCTGACTGTGAGAGCCATTCAGCAGTGGAACTCTCTGCCCCGGAGTGTGGTGGAGGCTCCTTCTTTGGAAGCTTTTAAACAGAGGCTGGATGGCCATCTGTCAGGGGTGCTTTGAATGCAATATTTCCTGCTTCTTGGCAGGGGGTTGGACTGGATGGCCCATGACGTCTCTTCCAACTCTTTGATTCTATGATATACCTACAAAGCTAAAACTCTATGCACATGTACTTTTTGACCCTTCTAATATGCATATAAATAAAGTTTTATTATAATTATTACTATGCCTTGCGGTCAGAGCTGTCATTATTACTGAATTACAAAGATGCTTCACGTCATGTGATTTCATTCATCTTTATGTGTAGCAAGCATGCACTGTGGACTTAGTTGATTTTTTTCTCCCATAGTCGCTGCTGTTATCAAATTTTCTGTTATTTTAGCTACAATATTATGTTATGGTGTGGTATCAGAGGAGATCCATGAGTTGTCATAGTGAGTGACACCAATCCTAGTGATGCCATTGGACTAAAAGAGCCCAGTGGGGCCAGAAGCATCGTGAAAATGCTTTCCGTTATGCTTAAAATGCATTTGAGGGACATTTTTTTCTGATGAGATGCATTTGGGGTCACAGCCTTCATGGTTTCCTGGGGAGCTAATGTGGCACCCTAGTCTTTCCAAAGTTGCCCACTCTTCCTTATCCAGATACTTCTTCTGTCCTATAGGACTCATCTTCTATACTGTTACATCAGCTCTGTTTTGCTGGATGTTTATATTAAAAATAAATATTTTCTACACTGAGCTTTTTTCAACGAAGGGTTAGTAGAGACCAAGTACTAAGAATGAACTTCTAACCAGTCCTAAAAGCTACAGCTCACCATCCTAACAAGACAGCTTCTGTATTGTCTATCTCAGTGGTTCTCAGCCTGTGGGTCTCCAGGTGTTTTGGCCTACAACTCCCAGAAATCACAGCCAGTTTACCAGCTGTTAGGATTTCTGGGGTTGAAGACCAAAACATCCGGGAACCCACAGGTTGAGAACCACTGGTCTATATGATCAACTGAAATCATGTTTCATAGTATTCCTGATTTTTTAAAAAGAAAACTTTTTCTTTTCCTCAGGAGCTGCTCTGCAATGCTTAAAGTGTTCGTTCACTGTTTTTAACATCCCATGCCACACCACAACTGTCACCTGCCAAGCTGGGGAAGTATGCGCCACCATCGAAGGAAAAGCATGTAAGTGGCCCTCTTGGTTTGGGCTCTTCATTCCCCACTCACCTCTTTTTTAAAAAGTCATTCTCCCTGCCTTTGTTCCCTGTCCTACTATTTTATTCATTTTGTTAAACAGTTTGGCTATCCACAGGAACTAGCTGGATTTTCCCCCATGTATCTTGGTAAATAACCTTTGATTAAAACTTCAGCATTTGGTGAGGCAGAACTTGGTTCATAGGATGCATCTATACTCTAGAACAGTGGTTCTCAACCTGTGGGTCCCCAGGTGTTTTGGCCTACAACTCCCAGAAATCCCAGCCAGTTTACCAGCTGTTAGGATTTCTGGGAGTTGAAGGCCAAAACATCTGGGGACCCACAGGTTGAGAACCACTGCTCTAGAATTAATGTAGTTTGACACTACTTTCACTGCCATGGCTCAATACCATGGAATTTTGGGATTTGTCATTTTATAACGTCTCTGTCAGAAAGTGTTGGTGCCTCATCAAACTACAACAATATTATATTGTTAATATAGACCCATAAACCCAAAGGGTGCTCCCCAATGCTTCCTCTTCATCCTGGAAAGAAGTGACGAGCAGAGTGCCAGAAGCAGGGTTACGTCCTGGGCCCAATCCTGTTCAGGAGCTTTATTAATGACTTAGATGAAGGGTTAGAAGGCATGATCATCAAGTTTGCAGACGACACCAAATTGGGAGGGATAGCCAGTAGGCTTGGGAGATCAAGGAAAAAATGGTTCTAAACTCGTTTCGTACATAGGGGGCACTGGCGATTCAATTTTAAAATGATTTCAGAAATTTTCTTGAAAAAAGGATCGGAAATAGCAGGAAATCCGAATCGCTTCATTTGCTTCGTTAATGAAAGGTGCCCCTCCCTCCCTCCAGAACCATTAAGTAACTTTGACAAAGTCAGCCTAAACAAACAGTTTTAAAATCTCACAGTTTCCCTTCCCTGTTAGTTTTAAAATCTTGCCGTTTCCCTTCCCTGGCAGCAAGCTGCGATGCAGAGGGACAAGGTGGGCCTGCTTAAGCATTGACAGCTCTTCCTGAAGGCCGCTGGGGGCATGGCCTTCAAGAAGAGCTGTGCTTAGCCATGCCCACCTCATCCCTCTTCATCGCCGCCAGGGAAGGGAAACTGCGAGATTTTAAGCAGTTTTAAAATCCCGTAGTTTCCCTTCCCTGGCGGCGATGAAGAGGGACGAGGTGGGCCTGGCTAAGTGACAGCTCTTCCTGAAGGCCACTGGGGGCGTGACCTTCCAGAAGAGCTGTTCTTAACCACGCTGACCTTGTCCCTCTTCAGCTCCATTCACTGCCAGCAGGGAAGGGAAACCGCGAGATTTTAAAACTAACAGGGAAGGGAAACTGGGAGATTTTAAAACGTGGCTTTCAAGAAGGGAAACTGCAAGGCTTTGCCAAAGTTGCTTAATTGTTCTAAAAATCAAAATAACTGTGGGAGACATCCGAAAATAATTCCGAACAATGGGTAAGTGGTTTAAATTCGGAATTACTCCTCCCACTATTCCTGCATGGCTCAAAATTGGTTCAAAAGGTAGTTTTTTTCCAAAATAATTCCAATTTAAGAAGATAACGACTGTACCTACCCATGCCTAATAGCCAGTACTTCAGAAGACGGGAACAGAATTCAAAATGATCTTAACAGATGGGAAAGATGAATGGCCAAAACTAACAAAATGAAGTTCAGCAGTGACAAATGCAAGATATTCCACTTAGGCAGAAAAAAATGAAATGCAAAGATAAAGAATGGGGTACGCCTGGCTCCACAGCAGTATGTGGAGTCCTCATGGACAGGAAGGTCTTGGAGTCCTCATGGACAGGAAGGTTAACATGAGCCAGGAGTGTAATGTGGCTTCTAAAAAAGCCCATGGGATTGTGTCCTGCATAAATAGGAGTCTAGTGTCTAGATCCAGGGAAGTCATGCTCCCCGTCCATTCTGCCTTGGTCAGACTGCACCTGGAATCACACTGTGTCCAATTCTGGGCACTGCAATTGAAGGGAGATGTTGACAAGCTGGAATGTGTCCAGAGGAGGGCAACTCAAATTATCAAGGGTCTGGAGAACAAACCCTATGAGGAGCAGCTACCTAAACATGAGGAAGAACTTCCTAACTGTGAGAGCTGTTCAGCAGTGGAACTTTCTGCTCTGGGGTGCGGTGGAGGCTCCTTCTTTGGAGGCTTTTGAGCAGAGTCTGGATGGCCATCTGTCAGGGGTGCTTTGAATGTTATTTTTCTGCTTCTTGGCAGGGAGTTGGACTGGATGGCCCACGAGGTCTCTTCCAACTCTATGATTCTATGAAATGCAGTTTGAACTGCATTGAACTATATTGTATGGGTGTATACTGATCATATGTTGCAGTATAGATTCAGCCTCAGCTTAGCAGGAGAGAAAGCTGAAGGGGCGGAATGTAGCTCTTCCCAATAGGCTCCTTCATATTGGTAACTCTTTCCATCTTGACCACACTGATGTTTCCTGACTATGTGTGTCTCAATACCAGTGTTAGACAGTAGTTCCCACTGATATGAACACCAAACCAAACTGCTTCCTTGAGTGACCACTTACTCTTCGTAATGGTTGTTTTTTCCCCTATAGCTGGAGCGAGCTTGATCAAGAGGAGAAACTGTGTGGCTCAGGACAAATGTAACAAGAACGACACCGACAGCTACCTTGGGGTCAAATACGTCACCACCTATCAGTGCTGTGAAGGCGACTTCTGCAACTCAGCTGCCACCTTGCCTTCTGCCCACCTCTCCTTGCCCATGGCCCTGGCGATGCTGGGCGCCTGGCTTGTCCGCCTCCTTTAATCCCTCTCTTCGGAAAGCACACACACACAAAATCAAGCCTACCAAACACTGTCTCAAATGCATTTCCCTCTTCCATTCTTTTTTTTTTTAACTTAAAGGGTCCCTTGTTAACAAAATATGGCTTGTATTGCTTTTAAATCTTTTGAACCAATCTTGTGTGGAAAATGATACAATTGGAGGAGGAGTTAGTAATGTATTTGGAGAGGAAAAAATTATCTCCTTTTAAACAATTCTCGGTTCTATCTTTTTCTTTTGGGAGGGATACGTAATTAACCCTTTAACTGCAAATTTCACTGTTTATCTCTGCCTAATTATATACAGTAATGGTATTCTTCTGGAGGTGACTAAGATAAGAGAGTCCAGCCCAAGTTGCATTCATTGGTTTTGTATAGCTAGATTGGCCCAAAAGAGGTTAGAAGTCACCCATTGGTAAAACAGTGGCTGGTGTCCACCTTCTGGCCAGCTTCAACTGGAGTTGATGTGAGCAGCCAGCAAAACCAAAGCATATGATATTTTGGGAATCTGCTGGGTAGCAAAATGCCCCTTTTGCACAAGATTTGAAGAACTACTCTAACTTCAGGATGTTGCACTAGGTGGCCCTTGAGGCCCATTCCAACTGACATAGCATTGATGATATTCTGTGCGGATGCCATGAAAATCAGGTGTTGAACTTGGGTTCTTTATATATCCTGTTATTCTCCACACATTCTCCCACATTGCTGGAGTTAGGGGCCCAGGATCCTTGTGAAAGTGGGGGAAACGGCTAATTTTTAAAACCTAAGAGAACACCTATCATATCTAGGAATCTCTATTGTCTCCAGCATGACTCCATGGTCAGCATTCAATAGAAGATGGTCATGGAGGACCTAGAGATTCCTAGGGAGAACATTTCAATCAAATCCATGACAAATCAGATCCATAAATGTCTGCATTCCTTGCCAGTCTCTTTAGTTTAGGGTTCCCCGAGTGCAACAAGGAACAGACATCTCTCCCTTTCATGGTTGTGCAAAAGAAGACAATTGGCTGAGTGACAATCAACAACCACTGAAATTCTGTGTTCCGCACAATCATAAAATGTATAGGCATCTCGTCCCTTATTTCAACAGGCAACCTTACTTTTGTCAACAGCTGGTGTAATTTGGGGAAAACCTTCCAAAATTTTTGACTTGCAACTCCCACCAGCCTCTAATTGCCATGGTCAATTAAGAAATTAAGGGTGATATAAGACCCCATTTGTTTGTATTTTATGGCATTTTCAAACCCTTAAAACTCCATCTTTCTGCTTCTCATTACCATGCACTTTCGTTAAGAGGCTCTTTCTAAGCTCCTTCATGGAAAGAGAATTTGCACACCCTTCCCAGGTATCTGCCTCTGACTCACTCAAAAGATGATAATTGTTCTCTCCTTTTAGCATAGCTTTGGGCTTTGTAAATGTTTGTACTCTGCCTGCTCCTGATGACACTGATATCAGCATGTCAATGAGGGAGGGAGGCCAAATGCTGGAGGATTTCAGAGTCTAGTTACCCAACACATTTTCAGCACTGGGGGCATGCCAGTGTCCACAAATAGAAAATAAAGCATATCAGCTGAACAGAGAACTGTAAACAGTTTTTAGCAAGTTTTTCACACTGTTGAGATTTGGATGAAAATACGCCAGTAGCTTCACATTACATTTTGAGACAAATACAGAGAGATTGAAACAATCAGCATCCTACATTTGTTGTCCTTAAGAGTGCAGGGCCCTTACCAAAGGACACCTCTTTAGGCATCTCCAGCAGGATTCCATAGTCAACTTCCAATGTTGCATTGGAGGACCTAGAGAGAACGTCTTATTCAAATCCATGAATAATCAAGTCCTCCCCAAATGTATATTTTAAACCAGGCACTGGAATATTTTGTGCTCCAGATGTTTGGGATCCTTTCTTGAGATCAAGTCAATCATTGCAACCAATCTTAAGGGCTTTGAGAGTTATTGTCCAAGCAACAAGAAGCCAAAGGCTCTTCTCTTTGGAATATGAACAGTGCAATGTAGTAGCCATACATCCATTTCCAGCCAGGAAAGAAACTAGGTGAAGTTCTAAACATACAAAGACACACATCTACATCTAGCCTGTCTTTGCTCAAAGTACATGTTGACAGGAAAGCAGCTTTGTCCTTGTTGGCGGTTTAGAGAACCACACTTTATAACTATTCATCTCTCATAGGGCCAAAAATGTCAAATATTGCCTTAGCTGTGCCTTTGTATAAGGGCTTCTTGGGTCATCCAGGAACAAGATGATAGACTCAATGAAGCCTTGTTTTTTTTCTATTCAGAAACTTTTCACAACTTGTGTTTCTCAAATGTAAATTCTGTCAACAATATGTTTACTTCAAGCTAGACCTGGAAACAGTTCTTCCCAAAATAACAGGAGAACACCAAGGAGTTGTCTACACCAGCAAAATCATCCAGCTACAATTCAAAGTATTCTGCTCTAGATTCAATCTCTCTTTCTACTGCATTTGCTCATAATGTTAGGCAATCCCTCATAGCTCAAAGATGATGGTTCTCCAAGTGTAGTGTCTTGGTGGTGGATACGTAGGTAGTTGTGGAGCCCTTATTCTTGATCCGCATGTCCTCCCGCAGTGAGGACATCAGTTTCCAGGTGGAAGGCGCTCCCAGTCAGGGTTGGCTTGATGCACCTTCCATTCATGCCTCTTCAAATTCTGCAGCACTGCTGGTCACAGCTGACCTCCAGTTAGAGCACTCAAGGGCCAGAGCTTTCAAGTTCTCAGTGTCTATGCCATAGTTTTTAAGATTGGCTTTAATCCTATCTTTAAGGCTCTATTCCTGTCCACCAACATTACATTTACTCATAATATACTACACTGATATTGTACTGATAGCCACACAACTACTGAACTAGATTTGGATACAGTTTTTTTTTTTGGTCTAGACAGCTCCAGAAATACACTAAAATAGCATTTAGGATGATATATAGCCACCATATCTGAACAGTATCTGTCGAGGAAGCCTGGGCAGAACATACATTTTATATCTCATGTGTATGTAAAACATCTTATGCTTTTTAATTATTCCAGATTTAGATCCTGAAAGACCATTTTTTAAAAATGTCAGAGGTGTGGCTAGCTGTTATGAATAAAACATATCTTGCTTTCTATTTCTGTTTTCGAAAATATGTTTGTGAAGAGGTTTTTTGTGTAAAAGATAAGGAGCTTCGATGCTAGAATTTACTATGGAGTAGAAAGGCAATCAGGGGAGACTGAATTTCAAAAACACATGCATCCTTCAACTATCAAAGTTTGAAATTTCTACTTTTTGAACTGAAATGTTACCAGCGCTCCCGGAGGAAAAGTGGGGTTTGAACACTCAAAGAGTATCTTCTTAAAAGTCAACATAGCACTTTAAGATTGCAACCTTGTACTCTAGTAATCTGGAGACAGGCACCATGGAGACTCAAGGGCTCTTAGCCTAAGAAGAAATGAATATCATTGTGCTATTCTTACATAAAATTAAACATGATTCACCTATATAGTTGGGTTTAATTTTGCTCTCCTTCTCAATCCAACATTGTTATATGTTGCAACCCACTTCAAAGATGGATGAGACTGTTCCCTAGCAAATGGGCAAAGTCTCTGGTTTTCTGTTTCTTTGCCTGCATATTTTGGGTTACTGTTTGCATAACAAACATCTGGAGGGAATCTATTGAACAAAGAACCTGCCTTAAAGTTACCAAATTACTGGGTACTGCTAATCCAGGCAGATGCAGAACAGCTTTGCAGTACACAGCACAGTGTTTTCTTCAGCTGGCACTCCTGCCTTGGCTGGTATGCCTCCCCTTTGGCTGTTCTCTTATTTCTGAATTGAGTCCAAAAGGCTGCTGTGCCAAATAAAGTTTGACTTGATACAAACTCTGATGCCTGAATGACTCATTACTCTGCTGCCCCATCTCAACTTCCAGCGTTGCCTTCAAAATACCTCTGCCAAATCAGGTCTCTATTTTGGAAGGGCAGCTATAACCTGGAATGATTGAGAGGAGGGAAAAGATCACAAGGAAAGAGTAAAATCCCCACTGCATCTTCTGAACGTTCATAGAATCCTAGTTGGTAAAGGCAATCCAATCCAACCCCATTATCCCATGCAAGAATCTATACACATAATAAAAGTGTAAATACATATGTAAGTGTGTGGGTGGGGTGTCCACTTACACAGACAAGTTCCCACTTCCACAAATAGCTATAGCTCCCACTACTCAGGAGACACCAATGGCCCTCCCTCCAATGACATTGCAGGTTATAGTGAGCATCGTGAACATGTACCAAAGCCCTGCCAATGTCCTCCACAAACACCACATTGCCCACCACCCAAGTGAAGGCTTTCATATGGTGACAATTTCATTCTAGATTTTCTGTGTTTCCTCCACCACAGGCATCCCAAGGTTTCTAACTCTCTCCATTGGTGTAGAATTTGCTTGACCCCGCCCACTGCCTCTCCCATAACCCTTTTCTATCAGAGTAATTGATCAACAACTGAACATTCTAGAGAAGTTTGAAAAGAATTCACCATTATTTATAGTAGTTATGGATGTATAGTTAACCTGCAATCGAAGTACACTCTGAACTCCACCAGTGATGGACCTGGAACTAACTTGACATATAGAACCCCCATGACCAACATAAATACTAGAGGTCTTTATAGGAGGGATTTATAGTGGTTGTAGTTCACCCACATCCAGAGTACACTATGAAGGAACTGCCCTTCCTTTCTGGGAGTTGTAGTTCACCCACAACCAGTGAAACTGTAACCTCCACCAATGATGGACCTGGACCAAATTTGGCACACAGAACCCCATGACTAACTCAACCTACTGGAGCAGGCCCGTAGCCAGGATTTCGATTTGGGGGGGGGGCTGAGTTTGTTTTGGGGGGGGCTGAGTCTGAGTGAAGGAAGGTCTACCCTAGCAAACCTTTTGTATCGTTACCCCAATACCCCCATGCATATGGGATATATTGAGTATGGTGATCAGATCATGATATGAATAAACATAACAGTTTAAATAATGCACCAGTAAGGCCTTTTCGCAAACCACCATGAGAATTTCAGGGGGGGGGGGTGAAGCCCCTCAAGGCCCCCCCCCCCCCGGCTACATGCCTGTACTGGAGGGATTTGAGGGGACTGACTCACCGTGGTGGGAGTTGCAGTTTACCCTATAGCCAGAGAGCACACTGAACCCCACCAGGAGCAAACTAGAGCAAACTTGCCTAACATAACAAACATTAAGTGCTGAGGGAGTTTCTCAGGGTTAACCTGGCATGATGTCAGTTGTACTTAATCCACAACCTTTTGCATTTTGTACTTTTTCAAATAACCCGGGCAATGCTGAGTACCCAAGCTAGTACACAATAAAACAGCCTCTGCTTAACCCTGCCCCGAAAAGGAGACTCCACTACATTCCAAGGCAGTATATCCCACTGCTGAGCAGCTCCTACCATTAGGAAATCATCTGCACTCTGTTTCAACTAACTTCTAAAAGCATACATTTGTCTCTACTGAAGTCTGAATCAAAACTATTCTACAATGGAGTCTTGAGTCCTGAACAAAGCCAGACCTGATCACATGGTCTGCGGCTCCTCCCACAACAAAGAGTTAGGGTAAAATTGCATACCAATTCACATATACAATACAGTAAGCAATCCGGATTATAAACATAACAAATAACTAGTGGAGGATTGAGAAGGTTGCGATTTCCAACAAACTACAGGATAGATGACAATATCTCCATTTATTTATTTATTTATTTACCATATATATATACTGCCTTTCTCAGCCCAAAGGCGACTCAAGGCAGTTTACATTGGGCACAATTCGATGCCCCCCAACATATAAAATACAATCAAAACATTAGCATATAAAATATAGGTTCATAAAAAGTCAATAAAACATAAATCCTTAGCATCTCCTTACTGAAATCACTATTCAATCTCATTGTCAGTTGTTCATGAACTATCATTGCCTGTTACATCGCATTTGCAAATGCCTGCTCAAAAAGCCAGGTTTTAACCTTTTTGCAAAATGTTAAGAGGGATTCTTAATCTTAAATTCTGCTTCTCCCAGTGTACAACAGTATTGTGTCACTTTTGAAAATTTGGAGATTCCTACACAAAACATGACCAGAGAAAGTTTTATTTATTTATATGTGTCAAGAGCGACTTGAGAAACTGCAAGTTAACTTCTGGTGTGAGAGAATTGGCCGTCTGCAAGGACGTTGCCCAGGGGACGCCCGGATGATTTGATGTTTTTATCATCCTTGTGGGAGGCTTCTCTCATGTCCCCGCATGAGGAGCTGGAGCTGATAGAGGGAGCTCATCTGCCTCTCCCCGGATTTGAACCTGCGACCTGTCGGTCTTCAGTCCTGCCGGCACAGAGGTTTAACCCACTGTGCTACCAGGGGCTCCATACCAGAGAACGCTGACTATAATGTTGTGCTGGTGAACTTAGACATGTCATGTTTTTCCATTTTCACAGGTGGTCCTGAATCCCTAACCAGCAAATATGGAGTGTTGACTATAATTTGAATCTCCTTCAAGGCAAATTATAATAGGAATCCAGATTAAATGTTTCTTTGACAGCCACCCAGTTTTCTATCAAATGGCCTACCTGAATTTAAAAAAAAAAACCCTTCATAATAAAGAGGACAATTGAATGATGAAAGGATAACCCATGGGCTTATTCAGTTCACAGTACTGAATAAATAAATGAGTCAGAGCAGTTATAGAAAAACATTTCAACTCTCTTGAGTTTTCCAGTGCAAAACAAAGATATAAAAAAATATTTGCACTTTCCTGAATTTTGCAGTCCAGTTTATAAATATGTAAAATGTTTATATTGAGGAAGTTATATGCACAAGGTAGACATCAAAACAAAATACATCACAAACATTTTATATACAGTAGACTCTGAGTTAACAAGCACCCATGGGGACTGGTAAATGCCAGGTAAATGTAATTTCTGGTTGCTTAAGAGTTACTATGAAAAATAGACCTAACTAATACTAAACCCCATATTCTGCCTTGACTCAACATTCACAAAATGCAATAATTAAAAGCAAATAAAGACAAATTTTTCTTAATGCCACACAATTTTACTGTGTTATAAAAAACAGCTTTGTGGACGCGGTATGCAATTTTAGCTAAAACTTTTATTAATTGCTTAATAGTTCAAGTTCCTGGAGATCCAGTTAAC